CCAGAGATCTGCATACCGGTCAGTTCATATACGTCGACTGCACGGAGGAGGAGAGGGCCAAGCTGCCCACGACCATCGGATCGCAGTTCGAGGCGGAGCGTGCTCTGGCCGAGCTGAGGACCGTGAGTCGCGTCGTCGGTGACCCGCGTGATTCCGAGGAGTACACGTACTGGGAGACATCCTCGCATGACACTCTCGCCTACGCCTTTTACCGCGTGCCGGATCAGTACAGGAATGTCCCAGCAGTGAAGTCCGCCTCGCGCATTTTCGACCAGATTCCTGACGGCCAGCTCGTGCGACCGGACAAACCGGAGCCTGCGGTTCTCCGCCTCAGCGCGGTGAAAGGCACTGATGACACCCGGAGGAACCTCGAGAGGCTGAAGGAGGAGTCCATTAAGAAAAACGTGGTCATCCTCGGCGCCAGGAGAGGCGAAGATATCGCCCCCAGGATCGGAAACACGATCGCTACTCTGTGCGCCAAAATCGGGGACATTGCCCGATTCCTGGAGATGGGAGTGAGATCCAGGGCAGGGCCTATCCTCCCGACCAAGAGTGATCCCGACCTGATGATCCAGGCCATTGTTCCCGCACCCGAGGAGCTTCTGGACTACTTCGCCGACGAGATCCGTCAGAAGGTGAAGGGTAGAACGGGCGCCTCTTCGCACTACTACAGGAGAGCTTGCGCGGAAATACGCGACGCGCTCCGTGGAACAGCTGTGCAGCCTGGAAATGCAGGTGCAGTCAAGGACCCAGAGTTGGAGGCCTCGTCTGCCAGCGGGCAAGGGAACGTTACTTCGGTGATACAACTGAAGAAGTTCCTGAGCCACTTCTTCGGGACCAGCGTCGAGTCCGAGGATGCCTTTTCTTCATACCTCCTGTCTTCATTCTCGAGGATGGGGTGGGAATGTTCGAGATCATCATCACCGTCATTCGTGACAAGGAGCGTCGGTTGCTGCCTGGTTCCGCCCGCATAGCGGCGGTAAGGTCGCTTGAGATCGGATCCGACACTGATTACCGGGCATTTCGTGAACGATACCAATACATGCTCTACGAGAGCCCTGTTTGTCTTCCTATCACCTCCAAAGTGGTTCCCAAGACGCTCTACAAGGTGGTGCCTCTCCGAATGTATCGGCTCTACGTAGAACGTGGGGCGATCATTCGGGGTGGGCGAGCTCTGATCGAGCTCCTTCCCTCTAGGCCGGATGAATATCAATCCCTCCGCGATCACGGAGAGTGCCCCAACGACACTGTCGACCGCATCACCGACAGCAATGTGACGGAGCTGCACACCTCGGGTCGACGCCAAAGGAGCGATCCCCGATATGTGGTCATGGCTATCGATGCACGTTTCTTCTCCATGGAAAATGGGGGCATGCATATTACTCGTCAGGGTACCTTTGCATCGCGCGAGAACATCGCGATCGGGTACTGGAGATGCGTCTACTTCAAGGAGGACTGCTCCATCATTTACCTGAGGCCTTGGTGCTATCCGCCCAACTTCCTCAACTCTATGAGTGATAACCCGAGGAAGTGTCGGGACGAGATGGAGAAGTACCATCAGATCACCAAGACGGAACATGCCCGCGAGGTGGTGTCCGTTCCATGCCATAGGTGCATGACGGCCCATCCGGTCGGCGCTCACCTGTGCACCGCCTGCTACCTTCCCATCTTCTACGATGGCGTCCTGCCCACCGGAGACACGAACGGCGGCCCTCGCACGATAGCGAGCACTGACGGGGTGATTCCTCCCTGGCTGGCAAAATACGAGGGCTTCGTCCCCGCTCTGTGGAACAACTCAGACGCCAACGCCATCGGAATGGCCCTCTACTCGCAGAGTCCCGCCGTCGATGCCCGGTCCTTGTTGATGTCTGGGATGCGGCCTCCTAAGTACCTTGACAAAGAGGACGTGGATGGCATTTTCCGAAAACTTCACGACTCGCTCCGAGACGAAGTCCTTGACGGCAAATACCGTGACACGGTCGACAACAACGTGGAAGAGTGGGTAGCAAAGGCGATCTTGGTAAGGGGTCTGGCCTTCAACGGGAGCTCCGTCCCCGAATTCTTCGAAGAATATGAGGGATATGCGGCTGAGTGGGGCAGACGCCTAACCACCGCAAACTTCAACGCCAACCGATGCGGGTTTTACACGTCCTACTACATTCTTGAGGCCCATATCATTGGGCTGAGAACAGGACACCTTTCTCCGGTACTCCCCAACGACGTGTCCGGGGAGGGATTCAAGTTCCAGGTGGGGCTGCTCGCACAGCACTGCGGGATATTGCAGGCCATGCGGAGAAAGGCCGGATTCGATCCTGCCGCGCGCCTCAAGCGGGCTATGGACACGATACGGGAAGGCATTAAGAAGGGGTATGTCTACACCCTCAACGACCTCAGCAGTATGGACGATCTGATCTACCGGACGTCCACCGTTGCCTACGACACATGCTTGGCCGACCGTCCTCAAACCCAGGATGACATCAAACAGGAGCTGTCCGACCCTGTACCAAGGAAGTACCGCTTCCGACCCCGCGATCGCCATCGACCCGGAATTCGCCTTACACCAGGCCCCGGCGTGAGGGACGAAGACGAGCCCGACTTTGCTGGATCAGCGGAGGATGAGCTGGGATCGGATGGTTCTTCGCACGAAGATGACGAGAAGCCTGACGACCTTAACGAGCCCATGGGCGACGACGAGGAGGAGATCCCTCCCCCTCCGCCACCGCCCCCGGCTCCTCCTGCGCCGCCTGTCCCGGTAGAACCGGAGACTCCCGTGGTGCCGCATGCAGGCGTCAGTTCTGGCGATGCTGTGCCAACTCCTCCTCCTCCTCCTCCCGCTCCCATTGCGGCAGGCGTTACTACGACTGGGGATCCGTTTGAGGAAGAGGACATGGCCATCAATACTCGTGTCCCTGACACCGAGTCCGAGCTGGAGGGTGAGTCCGACCAACCCAAGGCCAGGAGGACATCTCGTGGTCGGGTCCCCGCGCCCGAGAAAGGGCAGGGGGGCGTTCAGGTCCCGCCTAGCGGGCAACCCAGCTCTAAGAGCATGGCCCAGCCTGCCCGTCCATCCCCGGTCCCCGCGAGAAGCGGTGTGGAAGGTGGGGAGAGAAGGGGCAGGACCAAGGGTTTCTACACCCAGAAGGATCCTTTTACCGGCGAGGACGCGACTCCCCGAGTTCGTCTTCGATCGGGCGGTCCCGGAACTCCTGCGTCCCCACCACGGGATGCCACCGGTTCCTTGGGCGGCCATGGCGGCTATGACCCGCGCGATGACGACAACGACGAGTGGGAGCTTCCCCCGGGTGTGCCTCGGACCACTCGTGCGGCAAATGAGTCGCGGCCCCGCCGAGATGACGATCGGTCGAGGACCGCGCTTGGGGCCCGCGAGGATCGTCGCGGTCCAAAGGGTGAGGGGAAGGGTCGAGGAAAACATCGACCTGGCAAAGGTGGACGCGAGGATCCTGGCCCGCCCCGACAAAGGGATGATCGTGGCAGGGATACCCGCGGAGGCCGACGCGATGATCGCCGACCTCCTCCACGTCATGAGGAGACCTCCGAGAGGCGCGGTCCGGGGCGAGATGAGCGCCGCGGACGTGATGACCCGGGTGATGACCGTCGCGATCGCCACCGGGACCGACCGACGTCACCATCAGATCCCCCTCCGCCTCGCCGACCTCCGGCTGGTGACCACAATAGGGGTGGTGGTGAGGATCGCCGTCGGGATGGAGGAGGTGATCGAGGTGACCGTGGTGGACGCCGGAGAGACGACGTGCCCAGGGACCGGGAAGAACCTGGTTCAGGGTGGTAGGCGGGTACCGCAATCAGCATCCGCCTTAGAAGGGCGAGGATAGTACGTGTGTCGCCGAAAAACGCGACCGCGCCGGTCCTCCTCTCGCCCATGCGGCGCTGCTGGGGGTGATGGTCTCCATTGCCCTGTACCGCTGATCCGGCGTTGCTCGTGTCCCTCCCGCACCGCTGCCGTGCGCGCCGGAAACGGTTCCCCTGGCGATCCTGTGTGAGGCTGTGACCGCACTAGAAGTGCCGGGCCGGCCATAGCCGGATATTTTCACACCAATTTCGGAACTTCCGTTTCTAATTTCCTCCCAACTCGACTACTCTTCCAACCGCTCCACGGCGTGCAGTGAGGCGCGGTGATCCAGATAGGATCCCCCTCCGCATGGCATCGTCCCATGACAACTCATGAACGGCACGAGAGGAATCTTCGTATGGTTCCTCCAATATGTCTTTGTTCACTCATGTGGTCCACTCGTCAAATAATCCTGTCGCCCCGATAATTCGGGGTGGTGGCGGGATTTTAACTGGGGCCCAGGTGATGCCGTTTGGCTCACCTCTGAGTTGACACCGGCATTTTTGGTTGGTCCCTTTCGTCGTGAACTCAACTGTCTCGCATCCTTTCTCTCGTCCAGATATCGGATGAGGGGGGTGTGTTTTGTTCACGTGTTGTTTCTTCATGTGGCAAAACGGCCGAATGGCCGTTTGGCTCAAGTTTTCCACCTCCCGACAGGTCTTCTGCGGTAAAACGTCAGGCGCCATAGTGCGGCGGTCTTCCCCCTCATTAAGTAGTTTGCTGCTTGGTGCGGGATAGGGCTGGCACTAGGAGGTACCTGGTTTTACGGCGCGGGCGCCCTGGGCTTGGTGGCATACTTCCCGATTTACTATTGCAACGTGTTTCCAAACCTCCCCAAACATTTTCCTCTTCTACCGTCACATCCTCAACCCGGTCATCATCCACAGCTTCATCCGAGTTGTGTTTCCGGGTGCTGTGGGCACTTTGTGATCTACCTTGTGCTCATTTGCTTCCCTGGGCTACTTCGTGTTCGCCCAAAACCGCACTGATGAATCAACAGGGGTTTGAATGCATTTGTTTTAAAAAAAGCCCTCCAGGTTGACACCCCCTGGTAGTAAACGCCAGGTTTTCGGTTTTTCCATTCGTCCAGCCTCGGCATGACAGCTTCCTGGAACTCTGGGCTCCGGGCTCCAGGCGGCGGACCTGGAGCTGGGCCGAGGCCTGCGGGATCTGCGGCGGGAGCTGCAGGCCGCCTGCGCGGCGCCCGCACGCCTGCGGCGCCTTCGGGGTCGTCCGTGTTCCGCGGCGCTGGAGCCCATGGGGGGAGAAGTATGCACTTCTGAGATTCGTGGGGTGGAATCAGACTGGAATCAGACCACTCTTGGAGGGGCCGAAACTTAGCCCTTGGTTGGAAGGGAGCGATTCGGACTCGGAGCTGGGGGGATGCTAACATTTGCTTCTAAAGAAGGAGCCAAGGAGCTACCGAGAGGAATCGTAGCATCATGGTTGGGTCATGCTTGCGACTGATTGGGGCGGGGGTCTCTGTCGCCTAATTTACTGTACCTGTGGTTTCCAGCCATCCCCTTAGGTTTATTTTTATTTTTATGTTTTTAGTTGGGGCTTCCAGTTCACCCGCTAAGAGTTTGCGACTTCCAGCAGGGGATCTGACAACGGACCGCCCCGGTCGGCCATTGCCTGTCCAGGATCGAACCCCTGGGTCTGGGTCTTTGGCACTGACCTTGAACAAGGGCAAAGGGGAAAGACTCATTTGGGTGTGGGTCAAAATGAAGCCACCAGGCGACCCCAGGTTTTAGTCCTGGGTTTCATAGGGTTCCATTTTGGGGACCCATTTTTGACCCACAGCCATTTGGGCCAGTACCAAAGCCCATCAAAAGGAACTCAGAACCACGCAAGCATTCGATTCTGTTGGGGCTCTTTTTTTTTGAGAAACGCCAGAGCAGTGGAGCCTGAACAGTGGGCCCATGATCTTTCCCTTTGGCTTCTGCGGAAACACCCTGCCAAACAGGGGGGACCTATTTAGTGTGACATGTTGGTTCCCTAACCCATGTCGCAGAAGGTTCCTTGTTCAAAACAATCCTCCAAACGCGAAAAAAAAGGGGAAGGGGCCAAGGGCCAGCCCGGAGACAACTTGCTTTTGCTTGGCAAGCGAGTAGCCCTGAAAGCGAGGGTAAATCGTCTAAGCCACTCATGCGTTTTGCAGGTTGCCACTTCAAGCGGGTTCTAAAGCAAAGCTTGCGGGCCGCTCGTCAACGGCTGAAGCAAGTTTCGAACATTCATAGGTTGTACCTGGCGGTAAGCCCCTTTTGGGTTGAACATCTCGGGGGCTTTACTGCGTTGCAAGTATGAGCCTTCACGGAACCCGCGGGGTGTTCCAAAGCCGAATGCATCAGCTGTGTCTTGGATGTGGTTTTCGCGCTGCTGAGACCATCTGGGATTGGGGTTAGTCCCCTAAGCTGTGAGGTGCAGGCGGAGTCTTTGCGGAGCGCTTTGGAGGCGCGGTGGAGTCTTCTTTTTTTTCTCCGAGCCGGTTGCATGGGTATTCACTGGTGGGTTTGACGGGTGTGTCTATTATCCTTTTTTCCCACAGGATTTGTGTCCAGGCATTTTGTTTTGTTTCGATTTTCTTTCTTTGTGGGTTTTGAATGGCTTCCACGGGTTTTCTGACTTTATGGGGTTTCAATCGCTTCCAGCGTTTTCAGTTGGGTTTTGCACATTGTCGCGTTGAGCGATGAAGAATTCGAGCTTTTTTATCATTGACACCCCACCAGAAACCAAAAAAGTGCGTCGATCCGACGTGAGACCGTGGCCCCGCAAAAAATTCCGTCACTTCAGCCGCGCGTCGCGCGGGTGTAGCTGGCCTTACGTAACCTGATCGGCTCCTTGTTCCGCTCGTGCAGAGATCCTGGGGTCGGCGGCTCGGAAGCCTCGGCCGCGGATTGCTCGGAAGCTTCCGCCTTCCAAAGGTGCGGACGTGCGCTCGTGGAGATGAACGTGGCACCCAACAAGCCGTCAGGTTTGCAAGAATATCATTGTTCGGGGACTCTTTTTGGGTGCCAGGTCGATTTTTTATGCAGGTAAGCCCCTCCATGTTTTGTGATGTCCATCACTTGAGGTCCAACCAACTCGTGGTTGGCTGTTTGCCATTTTCTGTCACTGCAGCGGGTGCGTCCTTTTTTAGGGGGGTCCAAAATGGTGGTTCTAAAAGGGAACCAAAAGCAAAAGGAAACCCACCTTTTGTCAGGGTCCCCCAAAAAAAGACACCCAAATGGCTATGACATTTAATAGGAAGCCATTTCAAAAGTGGCTGATGGACATTAATCCGCGCCGAATTCTGATGTCCACCAAAGCGCCCCCTGGTCCACCTCGCCCCCAAAAGGGACACCAAAAAGGACACCTGCCTCTTTGGCGGTTTTGCTCCCCAAGCAAAAGGACACCCGTAAGGTCTCGACCACGGTTCAGTTTTTTCCTCTGCCAGGAGCACAAGAAGCAGGTCGCTCGTGTTGCCAGGGCCCCGGCTCCAAACGGCCTAACGGGCGGTCTTCGCCCGCCCCGTTGGACAAAGCGGCGCTGAGCTGACCTTTCTGCCCGCAAAAAAAACAAAACAGTTGGGTCTCCTTCCTTTTCCCTTTTCTCCGAGAAGGTTTGAGGGGGCCGCAGCTCCTGATACACATGGCGCGCCGGCAGGGCGTTTCCGTTTTCGCCAGCGGCCACCGGCTCGCTCGGGGCCGAGGCGAACCAACACGCTAGCAAACAAGCGCCGGAAGGTGAGGGATAGGGGAAGAAAGGAGGAGCCTTTGGGGAAATGATCCACCGGGCCACTGGGCTCGAGTGACATTCAGCTTGTCAACAAATGGAACCATGCAGTGGGAAGGAAGGTGGGGAAGGTGGGGAAGGGGGGAAGGAAGGAAGGAAGGGAGGAAGGAAGGAAGGAAGGAAGGAAGGAGGGAGGGAGGGAGGGAGGGAGGGAAGGAAGGAAGGAAGGAAGGAAGGAGGGAGGGAGGGAGGGAGGGAGGGAGGGTAGGGAAGGAAGGAAGGAAGGAAGGAAGAAGGAGGGAGGGAGGGAGGGAGGGAGGGAGGGAGGGAGGGAGGGAAGGAAGGAAGGAAGGAAGGAAGGAAGGAAAGGAGAGGAAGGAAGGAAGGAAGGAAGGAAGGAAGGAAGGAAGGAAGGAAGGAAGGAAGGAAGGAAGGAAGGAAGGAAGGAAGGAAGGAAGGAAGGAAGGAAGGAAGAAGGGAGGGAAGGAAGGAGGGAAGGGAAGGGAAGGGAAGGGAAGGGAAGGGAAGGGAAGGGAAGGGAAGGGAAGGGAAGGGAAGGAAGGAAGGAAGGAAGGAAGGAGTGAAGGAAGGAAGGGAGGCGGGAAAGAACAAGGCAGCCGACCAGCCAACGAGCGGACAAGTGAGCGAACAGACGCTGTTTGTTTTGGATTCGGTGTCTCCACATGTTGAATGCTTGATTTGCCTGGAACGGACACTGTCCCAGGCAAGGACTAGTGTGTCTCGTCGGTGAAGCCATCCACATGTGATGCAGTTTTGCATGGTGAAAAACAAAACAAAAGGAGCCACTGGTTTATCGGTTTGTCGCAGAACATGGCAAGTAGTCAAGCACGCATTTCCCCCTTTGTTTGGCTTTCGAAGAAGTTCAGTTCGCCTGAAATGGGAGGTTCTCAAAATGGGTATTGTCTTTCAATTCGTTTCCCATGAAACGAACTCTAAAGGGTACCCTCATCAGGAAACACACACCGAAATGATGGACCTTCCTTTCGGAGGCCACCTTGTTGGGGATTCCCTCTGAGACGAACCTTCCTGTGGTTAGTATTTAAAGGCTTACCCAAGTCCTAGTCATTCAGTAGGCCCAGATCTGGGACGGGCTTGGCGGACCGTTTGGCTGGATAGCCCGGCACAAGATGTGTAAAATGCAGAATCAGAGCAGTTGTTAGATTAGCAGTTGATTTCGACGAGTGTGTTATGATTTTGAAACATTGGGAAAGGGAAACCACCCGCTTTCGGGGACCTGAGAACCCGCACGCAAGCACCGGCCCCACGAAGTCACGAAGTCGCGGAGTCGCTAGGCGGTGGCGCAGGGGGAGCCTGCGTGGCGCCCCGGGGGAAGTGGCGAAGTGGAGCGTTGCCCTTCGCCCTGTGCGTTGAAAGTTGAGGTGAGCCACAATCAAAGCCCGGGTAGATGAAGGTTAGTCAGGGACAATCCCAACCATAAATAGCTGCGGATATCCGCCTTCTTAATGCTTGAAGCGCGGTTCTGGGCAGACCATTTCAATACCGGGTTTTGATTATGACTCAGGTGGAGTTGGAGTGGAGTTGAGGGAGTGGAGCTGGAGTTGAGTTGGGGCGGAGTTGGGTGAAGGTAAGGTGGAGTTGGCATGGACTGGGGGGTGGGGTTGTGGTGGGGTTGTCAGGGGTGGAGTTGGAGTGGAGTTGGAGTCAGCAAGAAAGCAGACACACTTGCTTTTCGAAGACGTGCTTGCTTAAGCGAGCTACGCTGGCCTGAGGATGGGCCAGGATTATTCATCCAGCATTTGGAAGGTAATCTGGCAGATCGATCATTCCATGACGAGCATATATGTTTTGATGCCTACGGAGAACCAGCAATAGAAGATATGGAATAATGACATAGCACGATAGCAGAGACCAATAGCACGCACACACATATATATATATAGATATATATATATATATATACACACATGTATATACTATCAGGGCACACGGCAGTGAAGGCTATTTTGGACCACCTGCTCGGCTATTTTGGGACCTTACAGCTGCCTTTTTAGCGACACCTGCGTACCGAAGACTCAGAGAGCTTTGCGCGGTCCTTGGGCTTCTCCGTAAGAGCCATCTTGCATCATGTTTTGGAATGTTATGCTGCTCCCCCCTCTACCGCTATTGGGTTGGATCTTTAGATTTTAACTTTTTGGAAAATAAAGGTGCTTTCCACTAAACCCCCCAAAAAGGTAAACTTTTTGCAGGGGGTCAACAGCAACCAAGCCCCCTCCCCCTTACAATGAAGAGGGTCGCGGGGCTGAACGTGGGTCCAGGATCCCTGCTGAAAGCGTATCCAGGATCCCCTGCTTTTGTACTTCTCAAATGCCTGGAAAGTGTATCCGGGCTTCTTGGGGAAAGCGGTCGTCGCCTGTTTTGAACATGTATCCGAGCGTATCCCGGGCGTGTGGCGGCAAATGTAAGCTGGGAGTGTGCAGCTAGCTCGCGCACATATGCTGTGCGGGCGCTGTCTGTTGTGGCCCGCGTGTTGGCGGCGTGCTGCAAGCGTCAAGCCACATCACTGTCATGAGTTCCGCGTAAAGCGCTCCCGTGTTGAAGTATGTTGCTGGGGCCGGAACTGGGCCCTAAAGTCACCAGTGTTTTTAACTTTCCCGCCGCGGGCCCTCATTGTAGACATACCAACACGTACAACAAGGCAAGTAATGACATGCAAGCACAGGACATATACCAAATCAGTCAGACACGCAACGATGAATCGATATCGAGGGACCAGCGCAAGAAGAGATGGCCAGGCCTTTCCAATATACTGATTGCGTTTGAAAGCGGGGTTGAGATATCGTGACTAAGACTTTTCTGGCGCATTCTGGCTGATGGTTTCTTCTTCGATGCTGGAACAACCCACCCACCAAGTGGTGCAGGAATTTGCCCATTGCCAGAATGAGCAATGAGTGGGAAGGCCCACTAAGTGTCGCAGAAGGAACCCGTGATTTCCTGAACACTCTTAAAGATGCCGTGCGTTAGTTTTTTGTTTTTCCGGAGGGGGGCGGCAAGTGGACCATGGAGAAACAACGACAACGAGGCAGAATTGGCGTGTCATCGGCCTTGTGAAATCTGAGGGGCTCCGATTTTCCAGCAATGATTTGGCAAACCACGTCGTGACTGGCTCCAGCTTTGGCGCCCCAAATTCGCTCTATTTCCGCCCACCCCCCAGTCCCTCCAAGACGCCTGCCCCGCCCCCCACGAGCCAGTGGTTTCCTTGTCCCCCCAAAGCTTAGCGTCTTGCGGCCCGGCGAGGCTTACTTTGCCGCTAACCCCGCGGGTGCAGCTGGTGCAGCCAGAAAGCCTAGATTCGGCAGGGGTGCCACAATCAACGCCTGGCGTCGTTTTTTTCTGGGACCCACAACAAAATTCTTCGGCTCTCCCTTTGGCTTCAACTTTAAAAAAGGGGGGCGCCGATGTGCTGGAAATGTGGAAGTTCACCGGATGTCGGGAGAAACAAAGTGGCTCCTTGTAGTTTCCCTAAGGATCAGAGAAGGTGCGGGAAGCTAGGTCTTTTTCTTTGTATGGGTTTGTCTCTAAACAAAACAAAACACCTAAATGGGTGGCTTTCCATTAGTGTCCTTTGAAACCCGCCCCTGAGGCAGACCAAAGAGGTCCTTGAAACTTGGTCGTTTGGAGTGCGATTTTCACGCTATGGAGGGGAATCCCACCGCTACAGGCGGGTAGGGTCCTAGGTGTCCTTTTTGGTTGCTTTGGTGGAAAAATAGATGGCCCTGGTTTACCTGGTAGTTTAACCATCTACCAGGGCCATCCACTTGCCCTAAAAAGACACCTATGACAAGGGTTGCTACTCTTTTACACAATGCGGTGGTTCCCAGAAACCAAGCTTTCGTGGGAGAAAAAAAGGGGTGCCTGCGCCAAGGAGGCGAATGTTGACCCAGGATTCATGTTGACCCGTCCCATGATTTAAGGGGGGGTTCCCTCCAAAAGTGGTCTGAATCCAACCAATAGAAGGGGACACCCCCCTGTTCATCAACCAGGAGTTTTCGAATGTGGGGTTAACATCACAAGAGCGTTTTTTTCTTCTTTTTCCTGCATCTGATTTTCACTCAGCACCGCTCCTTCCACACTTGCAACCAGTTCTACGACAGCATCTCTCTGGCTGCTTTCTTTTGAGCGGATTGCAAAGCAGGACATGGATAACCATTTATCCACTTATCAATGAACAAACGGAGACCAACGAGCAAACAGATTCAGAATGAAGGTTTCCAATCGCCAGCCAGCGGTTCTTTCCATGCCCAGTGATTCCATTTTGCCACAATTTCAAGACCAAGCATACCATTTCAAAGCCAAAAGGACAACGTCGTTTTTTCTAGCCCAAAAAAAGGCAAATGGTTGGTTTCCTACCTTCTTCAAAGGCAACTGTGAGCCAGTGGGATGCTTTGGATTCAGGAAGCCCCGCTCCGCTCCCCTCGGCTTGCGCAAGCCGCAGGTGCGGCAGTTCGCGCCGGCGACCAGGTGGGCAGAGCGAGGTTTGGGTTCGGAGGCCGAAACGGTCCACCCTGGGAGCTTTGATTGGAAGGGTAAGGAAAAGTGAGGCTCGAGGCTTTTTGTCAGTTTATGTTTCGAGCAATCCATAAATTTGACAGCTTCCGCCGTTTTTTTCTTCTTCTTTTTCTCCGCCTGACAAATGTTCGAACGGTTTCAGCAGTTTAGAACGCCTCGCACTTGCAAGTTGAAAAGCTTCCGGAATGTTTCCGCGAGTGCCCACTACTGAACATCAGCTTCTCTCCCAAATAAGATGAGATTAGAAGGGGTTCTGACTTTGGGTTTTTTGCCTCCAGCCGTCTTCGGCTTCTGTCTGGGATGGCCATAGCATCGGTGCTTCATGGCAGGGTCCTCTACCAGACCCTCTGAATGACCTTGGGAGCTAAATAGGGCTCTGATGGACAAAATCCACTTCGCACCAGTTGAGAAGAAAGCAATAGCACATGGTGCGACGTGGTTTTTGAATCCACAGTACGCTAGAGATTGCTTCTTGGTCGCCCCTCGTGACTCGGATAGGCCGCCGCAATCGCCGTCGCCATCCGTACCTGCCATGGAGGCGGGGGGTGAGGCCCACTGCCCCAGGTGCCTATCCCCGAAGGGAACTGGTACCCTGTGGTAGTAGAGGTCGTTGTGTTGGTCCCTGGATCTATTCCGGAGAGAATCCAATATGCCACTGTGGATGATTGGAGGATGGATTGTCCCTGGTGGATTGTCTTGTGGATAATCCTGTAAGCGGCCTGCTAAGGTTCTTTTGCTTCACGCGATCATGAATGATGCAATGATATACAAAAGGGGCCTTGAGCCAAATGTTGCGGGAGATCAATTGGTCTGAGAACCAAACACAAAACAGACACAAATTTCTTTTGATCTCCAGCACTAAGTATGAAATACTATTGGCTTCATGGCCTTTGGCCGTAGCCTTGATGTATGCCGTAGCCATGCTGTATGCCGTAGCCATGTGTATTAAAAATGCCGGATTCATCCTCTTTTCTGCTCGGATGAAATGTCTTGGCTTTCGAAATGGAAAACACTATGTACTGCTTCTTTTTGAGATACCTAGATGTATCAAAGGGTGATGTACAACGCTATGTACACGCGGGACGATTGTGAAACTATTGATCTCTCACTCATGGTATAGTCTTGTAGACGGCGAGGATCAATCATCTGAATTGAGTTCGTGGTGCTGAACGTATGAATCTTCATGGTCAGTCGGATCGACGATACCATCGGCGGCTGCTGTCGGATTGACTGCCATAGTCTCCATAATCATTCCAGGTCGAGTTGCTATAGTCCTTCCACTGCTTCTGATGTCCCCACTGCTTGTTGTAGTCCTTGTACTCCTGCGGGGTCCAGGCTTGTTTCTTCTTGATGTACTCCTGGTATCTCTCAGAGCTGCGTTGCCTGGTTGCAGATTTGCTGCGGATGTAAACCATGAGAGGACTGTGAGAGTCGGAGTCCTGCGAGCCATTCATGAACATGTCATTGCTCACGTGCTTAAAGCGCTCTGCGGATCAGACCTGGTAATCGAATATGGCCATTGTTGGATCGTTCCGCATGGCTTCCAGTTGTTCATCATCCATGGCGTTCATCTCGTCCTTCCGGAAAGCCTGCTGGATGTTCGTTTTGCCCCATCCAAACACGAAAGTCATCATCACATCTGGGAATGTTCAATCATCTCCTTATCCACGCTTCATGTACAGGTGATGACGGACAATGGATTTGAGGGTGCACGAAGTCTCCATTGCATACTCCATTCTGTCCACGAGTGGCAAATCTTTCGTTTCATTCCACAGTCTCTGATATGCTCTTATGAGGATGTTCACGAGACCGTTGGCCGGATTGAAGACGTGCTGGAGTTTGCTGTAGGTGTTCGCTGATTTGTTGGCGTCTCCGGTGATCGCATCGCATCGGTACAAAGTCACGAGCGGCATGATTTCATTTTGAAGATCTTCCCTTGCTGCTCCATGGCTAATTGAAGGATGGATGTGGGAAACTCCAATGGTAGCGAATGGGAGATCTGCCCTCATTATGTGGCGGTCGTCATACTCGTGGAGTGACTTGTTGGATGATTTCGGGATCATGCCGCGAAACTCATCACTCTGCTCGATATGGAGAACGACGATCTCCTTGTCTCGGCCATGTCCTTGGACAATGGTGCGTGTTGGCAATCTCGGTCCAATGTACTTCTTGGATTCAGTAAACATCTGAACATTCCGAATGTGGTTCCCCAATTCTGGCTCTTGGTGGAAATGTGTCTTGCCAGAAGTTCCACTCTTGCAGAAGGTCCGCCACGGACAAAGCATGCGATCGGTCTGGATGACCATTGCTTGATCACGGTGCCCTTGTAACCGTATCGGATGAACGTCTGGATGAGCTCCCTGGATTTCTCATCATTAGGACTGAAGAATGCGTCTGCTTCATTCAGGCATAAGATGTGTGCACTGTTCTGCATCATCATCTTTACGATCGGTCGATCCTTCATCGGCATGTTGTACACCTCCCTGTTGTCCAGCTTTGGATTCCTTGTGAGGTTTCCATGGTTCAGGGTAAGCATGTTGATCGCTATGGATGAGGTGAACTCATGCATCTTGAGATAGTCCACAGGAGGACGGTCGGTCGGCTGCATCAGCGATCCCAGGATATCGGCATAGGCTCGGATGATTTCCGGGTCATCATGTGACCTGAGCTTCTTCAATCCAAGCGGAAGCTTAATCGGATATCCGGATCCTGGTTGAGCTTGCTTGTACTCGTCAATGGTGGGACATGTGCCAATGAGGCTCTCTCGCACTCTGTCAAGTTGGGATGAGCTCTTCTTGGATCTTTGTTGAACTTGTTCATGAAGCGGGAGAGGTTTGCCTTGGTCTCCGCGAGCTCTTCCTCTGCGTCCTTTTTGTTCAAATCTGTTTCGAGATAGATTTTCTTGAGTTCTTGGATGAACTCATCTAGGGTCTCTGAATTGTGATATTCCACGATGACTTTTGGCTTGACGGATCTTTCCCCGGAGGGTTCCATCGTCTCTTCTTCAGCTTCGCCCTGATCGGTGGAATGCCGCCTCTTCTTGGTCTCTGAGGAAGTATCTTTTTCCTTGCTGTGCTTGGTGGAATTCACATAATTGAAGAAGGCATCGGCAAATTCGCGGATCTTGGTGTCGTACATCTCGTAATCTTCATAACTGAGATGCTTCTTCATGATCCACTTGTTGCTCGCCATGAGGCTGCCATCAGGTTCAAATGCTGCAACAATGTTCCTTGCCTCGATGGTTTTGTCTGTCAACGCTGTTCGCTCTTCGGAGAGTCGGATGCCATAGTCTTGGTCCTTGAGGAATGCAAGGATCAACAGTGCATCTCTTCCTGCTGGCACATGGGTCAATGCGGCTTCTGAAACATCGTCGTCAAGGAGCACGTCATCGATGCATGCCATGTGGACGTGAATTCTCCCCGAGTTTGACTGGGATTTCCCAGATTTGAGCCCGTGCTCCATGATGCTGAAGAGCTGATTTCCATAGGTTGCATGGAACATGAATGTGATGGGCTTCTTCGCGAACGGCTTGATTTTTCTCTCTTCTTCAATGGATGGTGGTGCCGGCCTTCGCATTCTGTGCTTGGGCTGAGCTGTGCCTTCATCTTCATGAGGCGCCTCGGATCTTGACGGATGCGGACTTGGCGGAATAGATTCCGTTGGTAGATCATAGTCCGGTTCGTCGTGTTGAGGCTCTTTCTGCTGCTCAGAGTACAGGGGTCGTCCAAAGGATTGGATCTCGACTTGTCGTGTGTGTCCGCTGTTGCATCTCACGTAGAACTCCATCTCTGGATCGACATAGAATTCCTTGCCATCGGGCCTGAGTGCATTTTGTGCGGATCTTGTGGTGAGCTTGTCGATCCATCGATTCCTTGGAACAATTTCTCCCCGTGCCTTGCGCTCCTTATATGGCCCGTCCACGGATGGAAATACGAATGCAATTTCGAAACGTGATTTTCCATAGCTCGGGAACATAGCCATCAAGAGAAGTCCTGGCTTATTTCCAATGAAGTTCCTGGCATGTGTAATGCAGGTCAATGCGTCATAGAGCTCGACGGATCCATCAGGACCCATGTCCACTTGTCGTCTGCATGCCTTATGGATTCCATGCCTTGGATCATGTCGAAGACATCCGGAAAATGATCTGCTCATTCTCTCAATTCGCCAGAGGATGAGATCTGTGATCTGTTTCGCCTTGGATGGATCCATGCGGAAGTATAACCTGTTCGACATTCTGGACGGTCTTCTCGAGATCAATGTTGACGTTGTGGCATACCATCGGGATGATGTCGGTTCCGTAAACTTCGGATTGAGCATTGGTGTAGCAGCAGATGCTGTAGACCTTCTTGATGAAGTCCATGTATTGCTTCTCCGTATGAGGTCCTTCACCTTGGAGTGTTGGCTGCCAGTAATCGTTGAATCTGGCCTTCAACCAGAATACCTTAGCTCCATGTGGTCTCTCATGCTCAGGAACGACGTGGAAATCCGGATTGACATCGAGGATGGTTGAGCATTCCCTGTAGTACTCGTACACAAAATTCAGGAATATTGAGTTTCCGAAAGGTCCTGGGTGTACGGATTCCTTCTGGAGGCTGATGTTTGTATCCGATCCATATGTTACAAACCACCGATCATTGGATGTGAGAACAGGCCGCATCACTGGTCGCCTTGGAAGCGCAGGTCGATCACCAGGATGATTGTCGGATTCCGTCTCTACATCACCGGATTTTCTTTGGTGCTGGCTTGACCTTGGAGACAAGCCTCAATGCTGGTGGCGGTGACTTTGGAACAAGTTTCGGATGCGGCATCGCCTTTGACGTAGGCCTTCCTGCGGGAGGATGCCCTTCTTCATCTGAATCATCGTCGTCGGAATCTGGAGCATAATCAACCTGCTCCATGTTGACATTCTCGGGTTGCTGAGAGGCGGATGGATTCTCATCGGCGACTTGCTCCATGGGGCAGTCTGATGTCTCATCTTCCTCATCACGAGCAGGGTATTCCTTCAACGGTGATGCCCGTCTCTTGATCATTGGCTTTGGCACAGGTGCCGCGGCGCTGGATCGTCCGAAGATCATATTGAGAATGGGCATGTCTTCGAAGTGATCGAGCATACAGGATTGCAAAGGTCGGATTGGTTGTAAACCGAAAGTGGCTGCGGATGCAGACACATATTTCTTGAGATTCAAAATGGGTCAAGTTCAAACACGCGCATCGCGGATTTGAGGAATTGAAAATATGCAAAACGGAAAAACTCATGCATCAGAATTCGTGGACATGCGGATCATGCCCAGGTTCCCCAATAAGCAAACATGGATTCTGCTATACCGACTCCTGCAAAAGCAATGATGTCGGGTCCGTGCTTCGTGTTGTGTGCTAGCCACTCAACCAAAAATGCCTTGTTCTGCAACGTGGTACGGAAGGGTGGATGTGCATCTACATTCAAGAGATTGCCGGTGAGGACTGCCTTGATGAGCTCGTCTGCTTTAGCTGAATGCTTGGTCAGCGAATCTGCCAGACAATCTTCACTCCGTACATGTG